GTTAAGCATCTGCCGAAGGCTCAGGTCATGACCCCACAGTCCGGGGATGGTCCTGGGATTGAGCCCTAAGTCAGGCGCTCTGCTCAGCAGGGAGCCCGCTTCTCCCTCTGCCTGCCGCTTCCCCTGCTTGTGCTCTCTCTCTCGCTCTGACAAATAAATTAAAAAAAAAAAAAAAATCACATACTCCTTGAAAGAGAACCTGCTTGCTTAGTGAAAGGCCACAATCATGGTACCATTAAAGATTATGGCAAATCAAACAGAATTATCAATAGCCACATATCACCGTAAGCTTTAATTTCACCGTAGGCATTGCTTAACCAAACTGAACTTTCATTCCATTTAATTCCTATCTAACTACTTGCTTTCCTTGCCCTTCCTTGATCATTAAAAAAAAAGGGGGGGAGAGGTTGCGGTGGGAAAGGAAAAGGTATCATAATGATAATCAATATTTATAAACAGTTAGGACTTATGTGGCTACAAGAAACAGAAAACCTAAAAAACTAGACACTCAATCTCACATAACACAAGTTTGGAGGCAGGGTGGCCCCAGTGCAGTGAACCAACCTTGCTCAGGGACCTAGCCTCTGTCTTATAGTGAGTCGATTTTTAGCTAATGCAGCATCTTTAATGATTATAATTCCATTCAGGCTTTTTGTTTCACTTTTTTTTATAAGATTTTATTTATTTATTTGACAGAGGGAAAGAGAGAGTAGTTTCATCTCTATTGACATAAAACTATTAAAAGAACATTTCCCCTTTTATTGATCTGTGCCATATCCACAGATCCATAGCTACATAATTCCAAAAATTATCTGTGCCTTTAAAAAAAAAATCATGCGTGTTTATCTATTTTATTATCTCAAAGTAACTAGTAGTTTCTTCATCTCCACTTCTATTTGCTTTCAACTTCACTATTTTTCACTCTTTTTATTCTTTCCTTCCCAATACTACTCCTAGATTCAAGTAAAAGGGTCCCTGCTCTGGGCCACAAGCTTTAGAGGGCTTGCATCTCACAATTAAAAAATAACAAAAATAAATTTATTAAAGACGACGTGGCTGTGGCTGTCAATTTAGATATAACCCGCATTGTGATATACAATATGTTCATTATGATTTAGTCCTATTTTTAATATCCGTTATGATTTCTTCTGTGACCCAGGAGTTACTTAGAATTATGCTTGCACATTTTCTGACTTACAGGGTTTTTCAGGAATCTCTGCTAATGATTTCTCTCCTGCACACACTTCAGAGTGATTTCATCCGAGGGGTGAAGATCATTTGTGGAGGGCTGCTCACAGCCCACTGGGCACCGGCAGAGTAGCTGCTCCCTCACGCAAAGAGCTGCAGACATAGGCATGGGAAGCAGGCCAGCGAGCACCGAAAGGGCAAGGTCGCAGGGATATGCATGGGCACTGACATCCTCTGCCATAGTGATCCTCAGATCACTGTTTTTATTCATTTCCAGTGTACTCTTCCACCGTTCTGTTCTTATCACCTTCTTTCTTTATACCAAAGACAATACCCAATAACACTGTCTGGCACCTTACTTTCTGTCACAGAAAATGTCTTAGAGAGGTTCCCATGAAGAGTACACAGAAATCTTCCTACTTCAGGTCAGAGCTGCACAATATTTCATTTCAGAATGTCACACAACTAAGTTAACCAGTCCCTTTATGAAAATGAGGCAACCCCAGCTTCAAGGCCAGCTACCACTATAATTTCCAGATCCTTCTTCAGATCCTCTCTTACTTTGCTTAGCTATGGACTTAAAAGGAAAGTTGTTACACTTTATGAATCATTTCTAGATGTTTTAGAGATGGAGGGTTTTCAGGTGACTAGGTAGCTCAAAATGGAAGTCTAATCCAGGCTCTTTCCGGACTTCCATCAGCCATTTTTCGCAGCCCGGGCATTTTGTCCTCATCCTAATACCTCATGGTTACAGACATCACAACCACTGTCGAATGCAGGAAAGGAAAATGGCTTTCTCCTTTCATAATTAAAAACAAAACAAAACAAACTTTGTTGGAAGAATCCCCAGAAGTCATCCACTTAAATCTAATTTGCCAAAACTTAGTGACTGCCCAGCATTAACTGCAAGGAAAGTTGGGGAAATTGGGCAGAGAACGGGATCATAATAACCGATTCAAGTCAATCATGCTTCACTCCCAGGGGCTGGGTACTTAGCCACTCCAAAGACAAGTGTGATTCTGTTAACAAGGAAGAAGGGCTGTTACATGGCCAATGACCAGAATCTGCTACAATACCTCGGATGGAATGAAAAATTTAATTGTAAGCAGCTGAGAGCGAAAAAAAATGATTTTAAATAACAGTGATTCTCTCAGTTCAGTAAAGAAAAAAATGAATGAAATATCTTTGATGCCTAGTCTAGGTGCACCTAAGAAAGTCAAAATGCTAATCTTGGGACAAATGACTCATACATTTCAGAACATAAAATTTAAGACCCATCCTCAAAACATTTTTCTGCATTTCGTGGTTTCCAGAAGGCAAAATTTTAATATAACCTAAGGAATAATCATTACCAACTACTTTGGGGAAAAATAACTTATGGAGCTTTTGTAATCTATGATAAAATTAAACAGCTCCAAATGTGACCCATGATGTATTCTTCTAGCTGTCAAGATAAAGCAGAATCAAACTGAGTAATTAGGCTGAAGCATTTATTCTGTTAGTAATAAAATATTTTCTGGATAATAAGCTCATAACAATAATGACTGTATGTACAGAAGCTGAGAAAAATAATGTGTGTACCTACATTCAGGGTCTTTCTCATCAGATGCAGTCCCTACCTGTTCAGAGTAATTTTGCATAGCACGTAATACTGGTGCTTTCTGAATTGTGATGATTTCATCTGCCAAATGTACAAAGAGAGTTAACTAACTGGAAAGCAAAAACTTTTCATATCTTTAAAAGTCTCCACAGAGATCAGATTTATCTGGTGTAACAAAAGACTGTTCTTGCACTTCAATGTAGGGTTGGGTGAGCATATTTTTTAACTTAGTGTTAAGTTTTCAAGCTGTTGCTATTTTTCCAAAAGTATTCAAAAAGAGTAGATAAGTTACCACTGGTCAAATATAACTGTAGGTCCAACTGGTGAGGTATATCTTTTAGTGAAGTCTGATTAGATTAATGCAGTTAACTGCACAGCTTAGATGACTGACCTTGAAAGATCTTAGATACTGCTGTTAGGACCTGTATGTTGTAGCTATGAGAGAGTAAAACTTTACATCACAATCTTGCAGCAATCAACCTCCCCAATAAGACTGCTTCAACGAGCACTGTGATGTTTATCCTCAAAATGCTTCAGGCCTCACACGGAGTGGAGAAGCCGGCACACAGGAGTGCTGGCATGCATGCTCGCCACACACACGTATTTGTGATACAGTAATTTCATTCTGAAAAACTGCATAATCAAAATGAACTCTAACAGCAGACAGAGAAATGATTCATTCCAATGTTCAAGTCATTGTAGAAATGTATTATATCAAATGGTAACGTTAAATGAAAATGTGCCCTAAAGTCAACCGGATTACTTGACCTTAAGTAATACAATACTATTGGTGCCATGAAAACACAATTAAATGAGATGTGAAAGCAACCATAAATAGTCATATTTTAACACAACAGTCAACAGTCTTATCATTGCCCTTAAAAGTTTTATATTGATACTCTCATTGAAATTTCTAATACTATCCATCAACCATATTCACTTAGTGATATCAGAGCACAAAACATTAAATTATGGAAGTAAAAAATATACTTTAGATTAGAAAAACAAATTCTTAATATGTCCCCAAACAGCATTTTACCTTTATAATCCTAAGCAAAGTGACTCGAGTGCTCACTGCTATTCCACCTGACAATCTGAATGCTCAGACATGATGCATGGTTTTCATACACCAAATGGTGAATGGGGATTCTCTGAATCCCCCAAATTACTACTAAGAACAGCAACCTACGTTTAAATCCCAAGCCATTGTCTCCCTTGTGACTGCTCCACCTTACAAGCAGCAACAGATAGATGTGGCTGCTGAAGGCAAGGTGAGTGCTCCAGCCCACAATGTGCCCTTCCTCCAACAATCCTTTTGCCCTACCTCCATTACTTACCAGCCTGCACTCCCCCAGTGCTGCTTAAACCAATGCAGTTTTACACAGAAGGGCCCAGAACGGTAAGAAGAACAGATCTATAAAACACAGTAGGATAATCTCCCACTATTTAACAAGCAGGAGACAAAAGGAAGTATACAGCAATAGAGAATAAGGAGGTAGGGATGTTCAGTATTCTACTTGTCCACCATCAAAAGTCATCAGTATTTCTCATTCATCTTTCTAGTGTGTCCCAAAAGAATCTCTATGACGTACCCCTAGTTCCCACTTCCTAACTAATCAGAATTCAGAACTGAGTCCTGTGTGCCCCAAATCTATGCATCCTTGAAGACTAAGCAGAGGTTGCCGGCTCTATAAAGCCACCTCCACTTTGTCAGTCAAAATCAACTCCTCCATTTTTCACGCTCACATTGCACCTGCAAGTCCATCTCTACCTCAATAGTCTTTAAAGCTTTAAGGGCACAGACCATGGTCACATGCGCCTTTTCAACCTTAGCTCCTCGTACAGAGCAGACACAATAAACTAACCGAAAACAGCACACTCGCTACAAGAGACACCGGAGATTATGTGCAAAAAATGTGCCCAAGATCAACTCTCCCCTCGGGCCAAAAAATGTCATCCACACCCACACACATGCATGTGATAACATCACAAGACAAATGAGAAAAGGCTTGAAGGTTCCAAATGAGGCCACTTTTCATCTAGCCAGCTGTCCTCACAGCGTAAGTGAACTCTCCTGCTCTGCTGGGTCTATTGTAGTCATACTGACCAATTCCATAGCTGGAGAAAATCTCACAGATGCCAACAGAGAAGCAACATTCTTATAACACGTACACTAAGAACAGACTGAAGGTGCAGCCCAAGCTCCAATTACCTGTACTGTTCACTGATGGGAATATTCTGGGAGAAGTATAAAGCCGATGTCCGTGCTCTCCAATGCCATTTCTTTGCAGGAAGGGTATAAAGGACACAGTCTTCTAACTCTTCTTGGAGCAGATCCACCAGCTGTTTATGGGACCCTCCATAGAACGGCTCAACGATGAGAAGACTCATGGGCCCTTTCAAGCCTTCACAGATTCTAAATAATAAGCAAAACAATGTTTTTCCAACATATGTATGTGTGTGTGCATAAAGATTTTTTTAAAAATAAGTTAAAATATTACACTCAGAAAGCAAATAATTTACAGACGCTTAATTTTTTTAAAAATATGCTGCATCCCACTTTTTTAAAAAGTACATAACACTTAAGGTTTATATTTTTGTAATCAGTATTTTTACATCATTTGTGTTAACAAGAGGAAATAAAGGATGCTTATTTTTCTGATTTCTGTTTTCTTCTTGCCCTAAGATTACTTCCAAAATGACTCGGGTTTTTTTTTTTTCTCCAGCCCCAGGAAGTTTAAAGCCCTCTCTGCTGTGATCACTCACTTCCTGGTTGGAATGGCTGAGACCCTGACTCAGTAACCACAGAAGTGGCTTGGCCTAGAGCTCTACTACTCTCGGACAGTCACTGAAGTCATCTCCTAAGACTTCCACTCCCAAGAGCCCTTTGTTTGTAAGGCCCTATCCAGTTCAGAAATTCTCTGATTCTGTAACTCTCACATTAATTCATCTTTACATTCACCAGCTATCACTGCCCCCAGTGAATCCATATTTAGAAAGAAAGTACAATCATATTCAAATCTCAATCCTCTAATGTTAAAAATCTTAGGATACAATTTCTTGAGACACTGCACATACCTTGACCATCCCCCCATTATCACCAATTTCCCACCTGCAAAGGAAGACCCAAAAAGGGGGGTAAGCTATATACCTATGAACCAGCAAGGTTTCTACAACCTTTCTTTAAACAACAATCCCATTAAAAGGGATAAAGTAATGTTGTTATTAAAGACATGGTAGATTTTTCATCCCAGCGAGTTAGCTATCAAGCAATTTTTTGGTTTAATAATATGACTTTTGTTAAAGTGGTCAGTGAAATAAAAATATATGTGTGAATATAAAAAAATCCATATACATTTCAAATTATATGCTATTTCCTATAAGAAGGAAGAAATATCACTCTGTACATAAATACTACATTGTTTAAAAAATATTCCAGATGTTTGAATTTTCCTTTATGACTTAAGTAAACACCACTCATTAAACAGCATATTGCTCTTAATAATGTTGTTCCACAAAATTATTAGTCTCAACAATTCAATGATGCTTTTTTAAAAAAGATTTTATTTTAGAGAGAGAGAGTGCAAGCAGGGGTAGGAGCAGATGGAGAAGAAGAGATAGACAATCTCAAGCAGACTCATGCTGAGCACAGAGCCCAACACAGGGCTCAAAGTCATGACCCTGAGATCATGACCTGAGCCGAAACCAAGAGTTGGACGCTTGACCGACTGAGCCACCCAGGTGCCCCTCAATGATGCTTTTCACTAATAAAACTGTACTTTACCGTGTTCAAACCAATGCCTATTTAAATTGCATTTCAAAGGAGAAAGTCTCAAATGGTTCTCAAAGATATGGCTGGAATGAAAAAAAGCTTAGTTCTTGATGTCTGAATTTTCCAATGAGCATTTTTAAAGAAAAATATACAAATACATATTTCACTTATCTACAAAATAAGAAGCAGTGTTCCTCAGGTGGAAAAGGCATGAACTCTGGGGTTAGGGAGATACAAGTCTGAAGCTCAGCAATGTCACTTCCTAGCTGTGTGACCTTGGACAAGTTACCTAACTTTGTAGGACTCAGTCTTGCCTTCTTTAAAATGAGGATAACAATACTAACCTCAGAGGTGTGTTGTGAAGATAAAATTGAAGCATAATAACTAACAAACAGTAATATTTTGCCCCTCCCATTTTCAGTATAAATCACCTTACATAAGGGAAAAGGATATCTTTGAATCCTCCTGCATTTTAAAATCAGTAATTTTCAATCACTGCCCCCTCTCAATCAAAGATAGATGGGAAAGGTGGGTACACACATGCATTTGAAGTGTGGTAGGTGTTATCCATTCTTCATCAGCAGCTTTTTTTCAAATAAGAATGTGAGACCCCCACAGGTACCTGGGAAGAAGTAAGCTTAGGGGCTGAGCTATGCAGAGGCTTGGCTTTTTTCAGGCCAGTTGGAGACCATCTCTAACAAATGCAAAGTTCAGTAACATAAGTTTAACAAAATGGTAGCTGTAATCCTTCAAATAATGGAAACTTCTAGAAAGTCAACTGAGAGACCAATATAAGGCAATTTTGAAAATTATATCAAAGGTTTCAAGACAGATTAAAAGCAGTTAACATTAGTTTGCTTACTAGATCACATCACAGTTATCTCTATCTTGGTTTATTTCCTCTGATCTAATCATGACAAGGTGTATATGCCCTATATATCCTTAAAAGGTTGTTATAAAAATGACCTGAGCTATTTCCCCAAGTAATAGGATGTGATCTAAACCACTCTAAAGAATATTTCATTCATATAACCTCAAAGAAAGCAACATCAGTATTAGAAGGGAAAAAAAGCTTTCTGATTCTTCATTCCTTTGCCCTTTTAAATGATTAATCTAGAGCACATATCATGCCATATATTTACAGATGTTTCTTATGTGTCTGAATCATGAGTTATCTGCAAACCATAAGCCAATGTGGAGGCAGTATGTGTAGGTGCTGCTGTAGATTCAAGACATTCAGTAAGCAGAACTGAACACCAAGCATGTGGGAGGTCGAAAAATAGAAAAGGGGAAAAAAAGATTATAGCTATAGTAGATTTCCACCCCTTTAATAGCTCAGTAAGAAGAGTGAAATGTACAGGTTTGAACTAGCGTTTACTCGAGCATTTTTCTAGTGGCCAATGGGTGTGCCTGCATTTGGGGTATTTTTCTGGGGAGAGTAACTATGTCCTACCATCTCTGAAAACTATACTTAGTGGCTTTGATTCACGGAAATTTGTTCTGCTTGTTTTGTGGAGACAGACATATCCTGGCAGTTCCCCTACTTACTTCTACTGCAATTTCTGTGGCAAGAAGAAAATGTGTTCTTCCCTATAGTCTTCTTAAAGCACAACCTGGAAGAAAGACGATTCCCTTTAGGTGCAGGCAAAAGAGAGGAAGCTGATTTTTAAATATAAGATTCAAACCAAATGTCATTACAGCATATTAAAGAACAGTACCAATACTTTTACTGTGCTTGAGTTTTTAGAAAATACTGCTTGAAACAAACAAGCATGAGGTTTAAAAAAAAAAACAAAAAACACTTTGTTAAAAAGAATTTTTGCTGTTATGCTGGCATTTGCTAAAAGATAAAGGGAGTGCACTATTTGCTCATTTTAGCAATAATCCCAGAAAATGCCAGGTGGTCACTCTGACACCACAGATGCTCACGAGCACTGAGCAACGGTGAATACAGACATCAGGGACCACTACCAGTGGCTACTAGGGAGTGAGTGCTTGGGAGTGGCAGTCCTGAACACAGAAAGGCTTACTCCTAAGCAAGGGAAAGGTCTCCTTTACAGCCCAAGCCGGGTGTTTGCCAGAAGATGGTAGGTAAGCCTATACACAGCCAAAGGTCTTCCATAAGTGGGTTAAAGCTTTAGCACCGCAGAAACTGAGTAAGTATATCAGTTAGAGGTGTGGCATGTATTTCAAAGGAAAAAACAACAAAAAACCTTCTTAGGTGAGGGAACAAATTCCAATCAGAAAGCCCATGTTCTTTCTGCATGACACTAGAATGTTAGTATTTTATGATGTTAAGAAAAAAGTTAAAAAAAAAAAAAAAGGAAAAGTTAATGGCCAATTCATTCTTGCTCCCAAAAAGAGCATACAATGTGTGTCAGATAAATTTTTATCAACTTTAACTTTTAAGTTTTTCTGCTTAATCCAGTAAGCTTCAGTTAAAAAAAAAAAAACAAACCACCTCATTTCTTCAGCATATTTTATTCCCCAGTGACACCAGATGAATGAGAATCTACTATACTATTAAAGCTTTATGAAAGTTTAATTCATTATCAATACTATGATTTAATGATACATGGTTAAATGCTAAACATTAAATTGGCAATATAAATGAGTCAAAGTGATAGCTATGACACAGGAATTTTAAACCACTTCAAACTCTACTTAAGATCACCAGAGGTCAAATGATCTAAGAATTGTCTGACTTTCCAAAACTTTATATTTACAATTAAAAGAGGATACAAAGTGAAAAATCACAAAAATATTTCACATAAGCATTTTGACCAAAATGAAAAAGTGCCATTAGTGTCATCTCAATTAAAAATTAATAATGCATTGATAAGATCACCAAGAACAAAAGTAGCCTGAAACCAAGGCCGTGAATATTTTTAAATTTTTATTAAAACTTTTCGTCACTGTACCTGCATTTATTTTAAGCTTGACCCAATTTCCTTATTCCCTGAGCCATTTTCAAGGTGAACTACATTTTGGTCTACCTCCTCTAACAGAACTGCTGTCATAGGTTTTGCTTTTTGTGGGTTTTTTTTTTTTTTTTTGACAGTATAGAGAAAGGAAATTTGCAATATGCCATTGATTTATTGAAAAAGATGTGCTAAGTATACATACATCATGTGGATTTTTTTTAAAGCTAAACCTAAGTCACATTAGAAACCTGTAATCAGCCCTCATATATGATGTCAATTCAGTTACTTATAATATTCAAATAATTTTCCAACCAAATACCAAGTAATAATTTTAAATCAGAGGAATTGTTGTATTAATATATTCCACAGACACCTTACTGCTATTAGCTGTAGGAAGGTATGGTTTCAGTGATGATGGTATTAACGGTTTTAATCCCACACACATGAGAAATTGATTCCACAGGCTAATGCACACATTGCTTGATACCTTATATTTCAGTCAGTTGCTGAAAATATATTTTCTACTTGCCTATATATACTATTTAAAAAGTTAAGCTTGGCAGAACGAAAAAACAGTGAACTTAAACACTAAATGCTCTAAGTTGGGGAAAATAAAATTTGAGCAGGACTTCCCAAGAGGTCATCAGAGGTTTACCTGGTATTTTCTTACTGACCCCTTCCCTTTGGCACCTCCACCCACCAACTCCAACACACCAGGTTCTATTTTAAAAGCAACGAATAACCCAGCAGGATAAAACAGGGCAGTACTGAGAAAAGTTAGCATTACCTTCCAACCCACTCACTTACTTTAATGATTCATCAGGGAAACCCCAGTTGTTAAAATATACCTGAAATCTCATTAAATAGTAAAAAAAAAAAAAAAATAAGCATAAAGATTTCTGCTTTGAAACGTGTAACCATCAATTCCCCTAATAGAATCTAATACGGGTGAATATATAGTAAAAATACATTTTGCTAAAAAAAGTATCCTCAAAGTATCACACTATAATCAAGTATCATATGGGGGTCAGGGGGTGGGGGAAACAGAGATAAGCAGATCCTACCAAAAAGTTACTTTTAAAAAACCTTTTATAAAAATCAGGCGTAGCAAATTCATCCTAACCCATAAAACCTCAATGTAATCTCTGAGTACTAAAATACAATCTGGTATCAACTGCAGAGTAAAAAACCTTGCAATCCTAAAACTATAGGCACCAACAGTATTCTACATAATTAAAGAAAGTTTGGCGAACAGTAAGAAATGAATCAGATTCCTGAGCATTAGTTTGAATTAAAGATAATGCATTATGGAAACTGATCATTATTTATGGACATACAACCTAACATTTATGATAACTTGTATACTACTATGTGTACTTAAATAGTAACATTAAAAGTAAAAATCTTGGGTTCATACTGAAAGAGATGTAGCACTATAATATTTTATTGCCTCATAGTGCTATGGGTGTTCTAATTTCTTCAGTTCTGACTTTAGTTTCCTGTTGTGGTAATGAAGAACTAAGGATTTATGCATCAAAACCAAGATTTGGTAAGAAGATGTATATGCCATCCTGTTTGTGACACATTTAAAGCAATTCTCAAGTGTGCTTTTCCATTTAAATGATTTCCTATGATCTTTTATACAAACTCTTTTAAAAATTACAATCTTATATGCATATATTGCTATTTAATTTTCCCTAACAGATATTTTTATTCTTTCTCAACTTGGGATTTACCTTTCTGTTTAGAACTATCAGTTACTACTTATTCCATGACTTGAATTAATACAGTCTTGGTTATAACTGTATCAAATGCAAAATCAACAAATACTTATACACACTGACACTATGACATCATTCACTTGTTTTCAACTATGCATAATTTCCACAAATGAACAGATGTGTATATATTACAAATTCATTGCTTTACATTTTTGTAAAGTTATAGTCCACACTATATAGCAAAATTATAACTATGATTTTTTTGTGAGTTTACTAGTTTAATTTCACTGAAAAAATACTCATCCTCTTTCAACTTTTCATTGCTATCAATTTCGTGAATAATTTCAAACTATAAAAGTAGCAATGAATTAGTTCTACTGAATACTAAAAATATTTTCAATTTGCTGACATTTTAAAATGTGGCAGTATATTTATGAATCAATAGAAAATTTTACACCAGAAAATCATCTCATCGCTCATTTGAACTATTGCATTACCCTTTTAACTAGGTCTCCATGCTGCCACACCATCTGATTCCTGTCATGACATTTCTCCATAATCCAGCCACAAGTAATCTTCCAAAATGCAAATGTGATCATGAGGTGATATGCTCAAAAAACTTCAAGGTCTCCACCACCTACGGATAAAGCCCAAGGCCCTACACAAGGCAGTGAGACCTTGCTTGTCTGGCCCTTCCTTTCTCTTCACCATGGCTTTGCTTCTCCTTCTCCCCTGTGATCTCTTTTCCCCTACTTGCCCAGACTCTGCCTCGTTGCAGTACCGAGCGCTCACACTCACGTAGTTACCCTTCTGTGATTCCACACCTTTGTTTCTTTTCCGTCAGCCTCTTCCTGTTCACCTCATGAATTTTCCTTAAAATTTCTGCTCATGAATCACCAATTCCATAAAGCCTTTTCCTAAACTTCTTTTCAACAGGACTTCCCCTCTGCTCTGTACACTCTCAGTACTGGTTTTACTCTCTTTCCAGGTCCCGCTTCCCTCTGGGCCTCTGAAAATCTGCAGGACAGGGGCCATGTCGTTCTCTTCCTGGGGGCTTCCCAGGATCCGGCATATTGTGACTGTCACTACGTTTCTGTAGAGCTGCACTAAAAATCAGGAGGAAATGGGAACTTGATTCTGCCTTTAAAGTAGCATTGCTTTCACTGCCCACAGGTCCCAAGCAAACGAGTGCCAGGCAGCATTCCACCTGCTACTAATGATTTCTTTCCCATTATTCCCGAAGTCGAAACTACATGAAGCAGCTGGTCTATCTAAACACATTTTATTATATTCTCTTTCAAAGATGGATTCTCTTCTTACTTTCATAGAAAGGAGACTTTATTAGATATTTTTTTTTCATGTAGATATGAGTTTATCTTAACCTACTAATACAAGAGAAGTAACAATGATAAAAGAAATGGTAGAAACACCACAAGCAATTGCATTCTGGGCCAAAGCAAGTTTCATGGCCTAAAAGAATGAATATCTGTGAGATCCATGAATTCTGAAAATCACCTGCAGTTTTTTAATCTGCTTGATCTATCACCATCCTAGTTTAATACTAGCAGTGGAAGTAGGATAAGAAGCCAATTCCCTCACCATAAATCTGGAGATCCCATTTCACATTTAGTAATTATACTTTAATTTAATGGGAAAGAAGAAAAGGCATTTTTAAATACTTTCTGCCAACAATTATTCATTTTATAAAAGTTTGACAAGATGAATAATGTATTTGCTTTCTCAAGATGGCATTTCTCCAAGGCTTCCACCTTCCTGAAATGGGCTGCAAATCAGTCCAGTGGGAGAATATAGGATTATCTGATCCATTCATATATGGATACTTAAGTAGATAGAAAAGACCAGGTGTTCCACAGATTCTTAGGTGGAAGGAATGTGGGAGCCACTGACCAACCACTTTTCTTTTATAGAGGAAGAAATGGAGAATATTGAGCATCACAGAGTAAGTAA